GCTTTCTTATAGCAGAAAGTTGGGAACTATATATAACAATTTCACCTACTTTGCTTCTAATTATCAAAAGTTTATGCAGTGTGACAATTATCGATGGCAAAGACATGGTTTTTTATTTTATTCTAGGTGAGTCCTATACACACACACACACACACACACACATACACAGAGTATATATGAAAGTAACCTCACTGAATTTGGTGGGATTGCCAGATTATGTAGGATTGCAGACTATGTTTTAAATTAAAATCTAGTTTTAATTTCATGTTTTCTAATAAGGAACAGCAAGACTGGTTAAAACTGTAAGTGCAGTCCCTGTCTCCAAGGTTTAAAAATCCTGTAAGAAGTAATTGTAAAGCCTAAATAATCTTGGGATCAGGCAGTGTTTTTCCAGCCTTATGCTTCAGGCAGGCATTATAGCCATCCGGGGTTAGAATACCAAAACAGCTGGAGGGCAGTTTTTTGGGAAACGGTGCCTTATGGTGCTAGCTCAGAATATGACACACCTTTGCCTTGGCATGTCTCCCCCAGGGCCTGATCGCTGGCATGAATATTATCCAATAGCCAAAGGGAACAATCAGTCACCTGTTGCAGTTCTTAGCAAAGATGCCTCCAAAGACCCTGCTCTCCTGCCTTGGTTTACTGGTTATGACCCGGGCGCATCTAAGAACATGAGAAACACTGGGAAAACACTGCGGATTGCATTTGATGACACTTTTGATCGCTCAGGTAAGTTTACTTTTGTAAATGTTTGCAAATGTATTGGTAAGCCTCAAGTAATCAGGGTTAAGCCTACAAAATCCTTGGTGTGAAATGATCTAAGGAAGGCTTCATCTCCCAAACACAGAGACAGCTGTTGGGAGATGAGTGATTTGTAGCTTATTGTGCTGGTTGAATTATTTGCTTTCTCCTGCCCCCAGGGATATTCTTCAGGTTTTGAGAGATATGCCATCCATGTCAACAGCCAATTTGCAGTAAGTTTGCAATCATTTGAAACCCACTGTTTTTCAGCAAAGTTGGGATTTATTTTCCTATTCTGCTCTTCAATCTTTATGCTGTGCAGGACCTTACTTTTGTATCTATCTTCCTGAAATTTGATGAATCCATCAAAGTGGAAGTAATTTTCTTCCAAGTAAACAAATATGTCTTTAGATTCTGCCCCCCCACTTTTTTTTTGTTTGCCAATGGCTGTTTGATAGGTGCCGTCCTCCTGGTTTTGCATCCCAGTCTGATCAAATTAAGGGCAGATCATGCCGCAAACAATTTGTCAGTCATCTACTTTAAGAATTGGCGTGCATTAAACTAGAGAGCCAGTTTGGTGTAGTGGTTAAGGCACCAGGCTAGAAACCAGGAGACCATGAGTTCTATAGGCAGGAAGCCAGCTGGGTGCCCTTGAGCCAGTCACACCCTCTCAGCCCTAGGAAGGAGGCAATGGCAAACCACTTCGGAAATCTTGCCAAGAAAACTGCAGGGACTTGTCCAAATATTTGCCAGGAGTCAAAAATTGGCTTGAAGACACCAAAAAAATAACACACACACACACACACACACACACACACACACAGAGGAAGCAGCTAGCTATCCAATTTTATTAAAAGGCATAAGCTTCTGGTTTTTTGTTTTGTTTTGTTCTGTCTTTTTGCTGTTTTGTAACTATTTTGTTAATTGTTACACCACCAAGATAGATTGATAGATTACGTGTCATCAAGTCATTGTCGACTCCTAGTGACCACATAGGTAGATTTTCTCATGTTCATCTGTTCCTAACCTGGTCCTTCAGTTCCTCTCATGGTGCATTCATTGTTGCTGTAACTAAGTCTATCCATTTTGCTGCTGGTTATCCTCTTCTCTTTCCTTCTACCTTTCCCAGCATTAGACCCTTGTTAACTATCATTTTCTTATTTTTTCTTGTCTCTACCTCCTTCCTCTGCTTTTTCCCCTGACGGAGATGTCCATTATTTGTTTATACAAAAAAAGAGAAAAGAAGTAAATCCTGCTTTTTCTATCCAAAAGAGGGGAAAGCTGCTAACAAAACAGTCACAAAATGAGAAAGAAATATAAAAATAAGAAATATAAAATAACAGTCTTATAATGAATACTGTTAGATAAATGTAATAAACAATTCTAGTGTCTGTCTTTCTGCAAAACATCCAAATTGCCAAATTGTGCATTACCTGTGGGGAAGGTCCTGATTCAGTTCTGCTTGCTTTGGGGTGAATCCTACTCTACATTATATTTCCAAAGTGGTTTCATTCAACTGTTTTAGAGCCTCAAAATAGTGGAAGAAGATTCAGGAAGTTAGTCCTTGCTGCTACAATTAACTCCTATACTTGCAATTCACATGAAAAAAGATTGCAAGAATGCCATTTTACTGTGATCAGCATGATTCTTTCCACATGCATCTGTGGTTAAATATTAAAATAATTCTCACTAGCCCACGGCATTTTCCTTGAAGTTGATTTTTATTTTCTGGTATAGGGTGAGAACAATAGTCTTTTTTCTGCTTTTAAAAGAAATGTTGGAAGACTGACACGTGCTTAGAGCAGGTGACGTTTGTTTGTTAAAGTTTGTTTTAACAGTACAGTTAAGCTACAGTTCTCATGGGGTGCTTAAAGTAATTGCCTTCAAATGTTTAAGGATTAGAACCCTGCACACTCATGTACAGAAATGTATCTGCTTGCTTTTGTGTGTGTGTGTTACTGCAGTGCCAATGTAATATTTGTATTTTGTGATGTTCTACTATGGTGGTTGTTATCCCCTCTCTTTGGCACATATGCTGGAGTAGATCTTGGCTGTTATGGTACATTTACCCCAGTGGGGTCTCTCCTATTGATGCTGTTGTGAGATGGAGCATGGGTCATGGGCCTTTTGTCTCCTTGTCTCCTTGCGTTGTATGGCTGCAACAGAATGCATCCACTCTTCATGTAGGACCTTGGATATTTTTGCATCACTACATTTAATTGGTTATGATTTCTTTTTGTATGGGTGCATTGGTACCCTCAATCAAAATGAAAAGAATTACAAAGCTGAAAGGAGAGATGGTGCTCTGGGCTGGCCAACATCATAATGCCAGCTAAAGAAAAGACAAAGCTAAGCCTTTTGTCCTGTGCTTAACACAACTTTTATCCTTGGGTATTCGAGTACATAGATATCAATCACTGATGAGAGACCAGTAATGCTCCGACACAAAAGGTTGAACTCTGGGGTAGCATTAACTCTGAAATTCCATGCTATTGCTGGCAGTCAAAGAACTTGAATGTTGTTTCAAACAAAGGCCTTCTGGGATTGCTGCAGTGATCAGCTTTCTCCCCACAGGAGACGGGTGCTTTCTCCTTTTTAGGCTGCAAAAGAATTTGCGGTTAGTATCTCAGGAGGCCTAGAGTTAAAACTCTGGGGCAGGGGCATTTTAGGTTAAAACTGAGATTTCGCTTCCAGAATGCTATGCTGGAGTCACCCCTTTTCTTTGAATTCAGCGTGCCCTAAATTCATGAAATAAAACTTTTTGCCATTATGAAAGTGAGCAGTTTTAGATAGGCATTTCCATTCTCAGAAAAGTCCACCATATCATTGTCAAATGTTCATAGCTGACTTTATTGACTGTTATTACAAAGAACATACCAACTGTCTATTTATTCTTGGATCTGTTAATGCATTGTTATTGACATGGCCAACTGTGTTATACTGTTACTTTTTTTTAAATCATAAAACAAAATTGCAAAGCCATCAATTGTATCTTGGAGAGGAGTGAGCCTCCTTATTTTCACTTGTGGGTTGTCACCTGTCACTGCAAATCTGACAACAGGTGAAGCTTTTCAAATCTTTGTATCAATATAACATGGTTTTCCCATGACTTTATGTGAACAGGGATGATATTCCTGGCCTAATCAATTATGTATTGATGAGTATCCTATTTATAAGGAAAACTCAATTATCTTTGCAGTGGGATGCTACTCCATAGACTATTAAACTATTTGGTTCTGTTAAAGATTGCAGGTCTCCAAAAGTGAATATGTTTTTCCTGAACTGAATATTGTGCCATTCACTGAAACCACAATGTAGTAAGGATGATGATTCTTCAAAATTCTTCACACATGACACTAATCAGTATTGTAATTTCTTTGTTGGGAGCTTAGCATGTGATGACTGAACTAGTGTACTACAGTTTAAAAAACCGTGGCTTTCAAAAAATCTGATTGTTATGTGACCTGGACTATTGTCATAAAAATGTTGCAGTTAAGAAAAATGCATGTGTTTGAATTCCTCTCATCTGCTGTGAGGATAATAGATAAATGAGCATTTGAAGATTTTACTAGCAAGGTATTATAGCATTTATTCCCTGTTTGAAGAATGGAACATTGGCCCTTATTTTTATGCAAATCCAGTATTTTATGCCACATAGTGGCCAACCGAGTACATTAAAAAAAACTCAGTAGGGTGGACAGAAGAATGATAGTTCTCTTTCACTATTTCTCCCTTGCAGCTGGTTTTCAAGTATGTTGCATATGAATCAGAAAGTAGGATACCCATTGATACCCCTATCTTCTTTTTTCCTTTAAAAACTGTCTAAATTGGTGGACATTATCACATTTGATAGTAGTGAATTCTACAGATCTGAACTGGAAATAGGATTTAAAACTGGATGGAGTGATTTAGACACGGTGGTAATTTTCTCAGAACATTGCAGGTCCTACCATAATAGAGTTGTTGCTTACAGTATGCCTTTGGGCTTACTGTGAGTTTGATCAAACTGGCTTAGCTTTGGCAAACCATTGTAGTAGAATACAGGTAGTCCCCAGTTTAAGAACGAGTTCCATTCCCACGGTTTGTCCATAAGTTAAATTTGTATGTAAGCCAGAACAGTATTATCATATAATACTATATAAGTAGTATTGTGTAATAAACTCGAACCATTGTGTATTTAACTTGAATCATTGCATATTTAATTCAAATTGTGCTACAATAGGGTCTGTTCTTAACTATGGGTTGTTCGTAAACCAGGTATTCATAAGCCAGGGACTACCTGTACCTGCACATTTTATTTTATAGAGAATAGTCTTCTGTTTGGAGGGTTATATCTCAAGTCCTATAAGAAGGAGGAACAGATGGGGCCTTGACACTGATCACTACAATTAGCATCTAGATAGCACATAGAGCAGGTATACTATTCACTTGATTACAGCATTACTCAATATTGTGAAATGTGTTTCTCTATAAATTATTCAAATTATAACTATATTTGAATCTAGACCTATACAATATAAATTAATATAAGCACATTTAATATAACTTGCATCTTTTTCTTTTTCTTTCTTCGGTGATGCATTTAAGGATGCTTTTAAGCTCTCTTAAAAATAACAACACAATAAGGGGAAATCTAGGAATGGACCTCTAGAAACCATGTCCACCTGTCCTCCAAGAATAATTTTATAGAGGCCTGAAATGATTGTTGGCTGTGTTTGCAGGACTATCCCTATACACCTGTTGCATATTTGGATTTTTTATTTTATTTTTAAAAGTTGTAAAATTGAGGAAGAAACAGATCACATGACTCGACATTCCTTAGTGCTATTGGCAAAGAACCTTTCTGAACAAAATTGCCCTTCTACACTTGTTCTCTTCAAGGCTGACCCTATTGGTGGGGACTTGCTTCAGGTGTATGATAAGGCAATTATACACACAGCCACTACACACCCTGAAAAATAGCCTGCTTCCTTCAGATTCAATAGATG